CATACCCTCCCCAATGTCCATCACTCAGCCATCCCATCCTTCCCACTTCCCTCCACTCCAGCAATCCTCAGTTTGTTTCCTGAGATTAAAAGTTTCTTATGGTTTGTCTCCCTCCCTGGTTTCATCTTGTTTCATTTTTTTCTTCCCTTCCCCTATGATCCTCTGTCTTGTTTCTCAAATTCCTTATATCAGTGAGAACATGTGGTAATTGTCTTTCTCTGATTGACTTATTTTGCTTAGCATAAGACCCTCTAGTTCCATCCACATTGTTGCAATGGCAAGATTTCCATTTTTGATGGCTACATAGTATTCCATCGTATGTATATACCACATCTTCTTTATCCATTCTTCTGTTGATGGACATCTCGGCTCTTTCCATAGTTTGGTTATTGTGGACGTTGCTGCTATAAACATTGGGGTACACGTGCCCCTTTGAATCTAAACTAAATGATTTCTCTTTTAGAAAGGAGGTAGAAAGGAGGTAGAAAACCTCCTCAGGAGGGTTGAACAAAGAAAAAAAAAATTTTAAGATTTTATTTATTAATTTGGCAGAGATCACAAGTAGGCAGAGAGGCAAGCAGAGAGAGTGAAAGAAGCAGGCTCCCTGCTGAGCAGAGAGCCCGATGCGGGGTTCAGTCCCAGGACCCTGGGATCATGACCCAAGCCGAAGGCAGAGGCTTAACCCACTGAGCCACCCAGGCACACCAAACAAAAAAATGTTTAATTTTTTGGGGCGCCTGGGTAGCTCAGTGGGTTAAAGCCTCTGCCTTCGGCTCGGGTCATGATCCCAGGGTCCTGGGATTGAGCCCCGCATCGGGCTCTCTGCTCAGCAGGGAGCCTGCTTCTCTCTCTCTCTGCCTGCCTCTCTGCCTACTTGTGATTTCTGTCTAAAGTAAATAAAATCTTTTTAAAAAATTTTTTAATCTTTTACATTTTTATTTAAACTTCATTTTGAATCTTGGCATAACAATAAAAATGCTAATTGGCATTCAATATTCATTATTGTATTCCCCTTTGTTCTCAACGTGCTTTTGGGTGAATAAATGTGGTCGTGTCATATGTACTCCAAAATGACCACTGGAATTCCAAATTGTTCTTGATGAATTTGTGCTATTTATTTATTTATTTTTAAGTAGGCTCCACACCAATATAGAGCCCAGTGTGGGGTTCAAACTCATGACTGTGAGATTAAGATCTGATCCAGCCACCCAGGCACCCCGAATTTATACTTTTTAGAAAGATAAATGCAAGAAAAATAAAACAAGCCAGAGTTATTTCAGGAGGTGGCACAAGTTTATTACTAGATGAACCCATGAATTCATTAGCTGAGGTCAGTCAAAAGGGAAAATATTGCTTACGTATTATGTCTTAAGTCCTTAGCACTAAAGTTGAATCCCTAACAGCTGACCCTAAAAATCAGTGGGAAGGGTAGAGAATATATCACTTCCAAAGCCAGTTTCTCAAACATACAAAGAAGTTTTTACTTCTACACAGTAATGTAGCCAAATAAATTACATCTTTTTTTGCTGACAAATAAGATTAGTATTAAATCAGTGCTTTAGCACCTACACAAGGAAAACAAAAATTTATACAAATTGGATCAGATAACCAGAAAGTCCTCGGAACCTTATTCGTACAACAAACAATAGTAATATCAGCTAGCTTTGGAAGCTCAACAAAAAAAGATTAGGCCTTAAGAAAGTGCTAGACTTACCATCATAGACAAAGAATCTCCAGAGCAAAGAGACTCAAGAGACCTCCCTGAAATGCAATATAACCAATACGGGAATACTGGTAGAAAGTGATCTTGCCTAAGTCTTGGTAGGATCTACGTGACTATGAAAGTCTTAATACTAGTGAGTTCCTGCTAGAGAGTTGGATAGGACAGTCATGCATCAGATAAACAATGCCCTAGATCCCTATTTCTCAAAATTGTTCCATAGAACACTGATTCTTCAAGCTAAGGGGTGATTTTTTTTTTTTAAGTGGGTTCTATGTTCAAGTTATTTTGGAAAATGTTGATTTCATTAAACAAGTTTATTTGCTGAAAAAAAAGGGAGGGAGGGAGAGAGGAAGGAAGGAAGGAGGAAGGAAGGAAGGAAGGAAAGAAGGAAGGAAGGAAGGAAGGAAGGAAGGAAGGAAAGAAAGAAGGGACGGTTCTTAATACAGTGACCACCAGGGAAACCTGTTGATCATACAAAGTGGTGTATATCACCATTTCTGAGCAAGGGAGATTATCACTGTAGCACAGTCCCAGTAGTGTCCCAGAAGGAGGAGATTACAGAAGGACAATTACAGGAGTTTGAGAACTGAGTTTGGTCATGAGAATGAGGCCGGGGATGGAGGGTGTTAAGGTAGGTAATAAGTAAGGTCTAGGTAGAGACTGATCAGATTTGTAAAATAGGTAAGTTGCTGAAACAGTCTTATCTTTGGAGCACATGAGTCCATGTGGTGTTATAATGGTCTGTTTGTGCATGGTCTTGGAGCATATGTCTAAACAAGTTTGTGTTAAAACAGTTTGACTTAACATGGTTGCTTGAGTTACATATCATGGTTTGGTACAGTTTATCTATTATGCAAATAATGGTACAGTTTTGCAAATAGATGTTTCTGTTTTATTTCTCAGAAAGACTTTGTAGTGTAGGCATGATAGCCAATTACAAGGATTTGAAAACATTCAAACATATTGAATGGGGGGACTTGGTAAGAGTGTGACTAAAAACATAGATTCAAGGAGGAGATATATTAAGATGTTCTTACGGATTGTAATCTTTGGGAAGATAGTGGACTACAAAGGGAAAGAGTCAAATGTTTAATGTGTGAAAGCTGGGAATACAGTGGTACCATTGATAAGAACAAAAACAAGAAATTGAAATTTAATATATGGTAGACAAGAAAGTAATAAGGTATGGAGATAATGAGTTATGTGTTTTGGTTTTGTTTTTGGTTTTTTTTACTTTGTATTTTTCTTTCTTTTGTATTTTAACTGTGACAAGTTCCAGGCATGGTTCCAAAGATGACCAGAAGTATAGGATACCAGAAAACAAGATTAAGTTTTAAAAGGAAATACTATGAATTTATTCTATATTTGGATTTACACTTCCATTCAGGTGTTTGTTTTCTTTGAAAATACTTAAAATACACTGTAAATCCCGCACCCTCATTTAACCAGGTATTATATCATTATGTCAATTTTATCGTTAAGTAACTAGTACTCCAATAATCTTTAATTGTTCTGTTATTTCTAGAACTGTTTGCAGCAAAAACAGAAAGGAATGTGAATGGCAAAGAAAACACTCTAATAACCAGAACTTTTATTTTGTTGGTGGTCAGTACCCTTCTGTGAAAAAAAAAAAATTATATAACCACACAGTTTTCTTTCTGAAGCAACTTGTCTAATTAATGGAGTTAAAGAGCTGTAAGCCTTCACCTTTATAAAATTATAATGACTTCAATAACTGTGTGTTAATTAAGATCAGAAAATTAATCTATATTAGCACTGCAGTAGCAATTTTCTAAGCTCTGTCAGTGACTAAGGATGAAAGTGGGTTGCAATGTCACCTGGCATCTGATTAAGTTAAATTAATGCAGTATTTGAAGGGAAGACTCCCAGGTGACACTGAATAAGATGATTAGAGTTTTTCCTCTAGCTATTTTAAGGGGACAGCTGGTTGCAAAGCTACTACTTTTCCAGCATAAAGCCAAAGGTCCTGCCACATGGTATCACCACTGAGTCAGAAGGAAGATTGAAGGGGCTAGAGGTTATTGTTTGGGAAAACTGAGATATGAAGCCCTGAGAATTGGTCATATTAACAGCCTAAGTATCTGTGCATGCTTGTCTTCAACCTCCTAAGATAATAGTACAGATTTCCTCACTTCCAAGATGTACTTTTTTTTCATTTTGTATTTCTGAAATCAAAGTCCATCTTGAAATTGATGTATAAATTAAAGTTGTATGTTGGTGTGTCTGCATGTGTTAAGGACCCCTACTCATAAGTATTTTATAATCTAATCTAAATCTATATTCACACTATAGACATTCTTTCTGTACTAGCATCTGGAAATATATAAGAACGATTGGGGTAAAATGTGCTATTTAGAAGAGAATCATATTTATTATATATATACCCATATTAATTAAGTGTTCATTACCTCAGTCAATCCTAACAACTACTATTCAAGGTAGTTATTAGTATTATATGTTATAATCGAGAACATTAGGCATAATGTGTTTGGGTAACTTCAATTTCAATCTTATCTGAATCCTAAGCTCTTCCTACTGTACCACACTGTCTCACTGAAACAATCTAACATAGAGTAAGCTTCTAATAATTTTTTTTCATAGACATATAATGCTGGATATTAAATTTCTAAAGAATGACTCAATTCAGAGTCATGGAATAATTGTGCATATGTCCAGTTAAGTATTACTTGCTTAAATTTGCTAATAAAGAGACAAGATACCTATCTCCCTCTCCTTCAAATAAGTTTAAATTCTTTGGTAGTGTTGATCTCACTTCAGAAGAGATCCAAAAGCTTGAATCAAAATATTAACAATCATTCTCTTCATACTTGAGAATATCATGTCACACAGTCTCTACCTCAGATGTTATCAGTGAAAGACAAACTGGAAAATAATATTGGGAGGGAAAAAGGAAGTTGTTTTATTTGGTTTAGCCTGGTGAGCAACCACTGAGAAGGCCAATCTCTACAGAGCACTATTGTCAAACTGTAGCCAAAGCAGGTGTGATATTTGGCCTGATGTTTAGTCACCATTTAAATTTCTGCATGCTTTTTAATTCTGGAAGAATGTTTTTTTCAATCTCCTATACTCTCAATATTTATTCGGAGATCCCTTGGGCATGTATTTTCTATGTGCCAGATACTGTAGTAGGTGTTAGATAAGGTAAACTCTACTTACTAGATCTATTTCTTTTCCTTTAACCATAGACAACATTATCCTAAGAGAATAATTTGTGGTGGTTTTTTTGGCTTTGTAGCTGCTAAATCCTGAAGATGACCTTTTACCAGGAAAGATTCGAGACAGCAATCGTTCAACCCTCTTAGCAACAATTCAGGAACATGGTTACCCCACAATCAACTTGGGAATTGTGGGAGACAAGTAAGTATTGGGTTTTATTTGGAAGTTATTGTTGTACATATTTGAAGTTTGGGAGTACTAACTAGGTGGGATTGTTGCTAAAGAGACAGAAATTTAATACTGTAATTTTCACTAATCTCATTCTTCAAAAGCCAAAGAATAATGACCGTGTTTATGTCCTTTGGGACAGACATCATCCTGGAATGTCTATTACATAGTATATTTTTACTCTCCTATGGGTATGTTAAGTTTCCAAGGACCTTTTTTGATAGCATTGGCTTTATTTTGATGGAATTAATAGTGATGATATTATTCCTATTAACATTCACTTGTTTCAAGAAAGGCAGGAAAGACATGAGTAAGAAGATAAAGAATGTTAAAATTCACGCTAACTGCTCCTCTGAAGTTTAAGTACAATTGTTTTCTAGGACTTTTATATTGATTTTTTGGTATCTTATGTAACTCAGATTTCTCTAGCCTTCACCCACTTGTAAGTACAAACGGAGGCACATTGACTAGAATTGCCCATCTCTAAGAGTATATTGCCCCATATTCTAAATTAACTCAGCCCTCTGCTAAATTCCTCAAGGATTTCTATGAACTTCCAACAGATTTTCACATGTGATCAAGAGCAAGTCTGCTCTTTCTGAGCACACTACCTTGTGACACTGCTACTCAGCCCTCTCTCACCAGGATTTCCAGTTCACAAGAGACAGACCTGCTTTTAGTAATACTCAGACATCCAGCCTGGTGGAGACAGAGCTGGGAGACAATCTGAGTAACAGACAGCATGATGTATCTGTCCCCCATAATTGCCCCTTTCCTTTATCACCACCTTGTAACTGATTAAAGCTCATTATGTCTGGATCCTTCTTCCCTAGGCCAAGGTAGGAATTTCCCAGCAAATGTGCTTTTGAAGAGGCTCTGCCTTATCAGTTTACAAGGTTTGCTCTACACCTGTATCCCAGTTTAAGCTCAACCTGGGCACAACATAATTCAAACCTTGGACACAGCATCCTACCAATAACATAAAAGGGAGTAACTTTTATGTCCCTTCACTTTTTAAAGTTCCCTTCTTTCTTCCTTGTTTTTTTTCTTTCTCTGAGGATATTGGAATAGAAGCTGTTAGACAGACTTTCAAATGTCAATGTTTTTAAAATCTTCACCATTTGTATTTACCTGGATGCTTAGTTCTAGAGAAGCCCATAGCTAAGTAGCCAGCCAGCTTAGGACCCACGCTGGTGAAGACAGTGTCACAGGCCACTTAGTATCACCCTGACCGAGGCTCCCTAGCCCTTGGAAGGCATTAAAAAGAACCCACTGGAAAAAAAGGTAGGAGGTAATTATTTGAATTTGGGTCTAACCAATAACCTGTACTTTCATATAAACCTAAAAGTTATCCTGATGTAGATAAACCTTTAAAGAGGAAAAAATTAACGTCCCAAAGAAGATAAGAGGAACCCAAGAGTTCCAAAAGCACAGAGCAGGTCCTAAAACTCTAGAGAACAACTTACCAGATCGTGTAGGATTTTTTCCCCACCCACAACTGGCTCTGGCCCTGCCTTCAAGTGAATTAATGAGCTCTAAGGAATATTATAAGGTAAAAGGAGCTTGTTGTTTGTGTTTGTTTTTCTTTTTTACTTTAAGCTGTTCTGGACTATAATTCCACTCCTCCTATAAGTCCACTCCTTCTATTTTTGTATTTTTGTATAAAAAAATCCTTACTTGATATACTATATATGCTGCCAGTACACCACTTAAAGCTTCTTATGTTGATATGCTAATATTTGTCTGTTGATTTTTGGTAGACATTTACTAATAATTAGTATTGATATTACATATAACTCCAGAATGTACCTTGAAAACAGCATATGAAGAACAATAAAACAATAAGCAAGATATAGGCAATTCTGAGAATATGCAAATCTCTAGTATATATCCTTTTCTCAGATGGAAATATCTTCCATAAAACTGAGAACAATTTTTAACAACAATGCAAATCTAGACTTTCTCAGTCTTACAGTGCTGTGTGGAAGAGGCCCAGAGGAAAGGGTTAGAATACAGAGATGGAATGTGGGTGGAAAGAATTTGTAACTGTTCTAATGGAAATCTATGCTGGGAGTTTAGCAAAGGAAATAAGGTACATTTAATCTGCAGCCTGTTGATACTCTGTGAAGGTTGCCTCCCTCTTCATTCTTCTCGTTCCTACGCAGCCTTTTGCTAATGAAAGTAAATGTTATACAGAAGCCTGTCTGTGAAGCTCTCCAGCGCAAGAGGGTCATGGGAGAAACTACACCTTGTGTAAAGCAGGAAGAGAAATAGCTCAAGAATGTCAGTAAGCCAGAACCCCTGCTCAGCTATGACAGTTAAGAATAGGGAGTAAGAGCCCTATTCTTGTATTTAAAAACAGATTGGTGTCTGGTTTTTAAGTTCTGTGATTCTACTTCTCAGCTCTTATCATCAACCATGATTAACATTAATGATAAATGTTAAAATTGAAGATAAAATTTAAGACTCTGTAATTTATTTGGATAAAATTGGGCTAAATTTTGCCTTTGTTTATGTACGTTTTATTTAAAAAGAGAGTATAGTGAAGATTACCAGAAGGGTGCTTCAAATACTTGAGAGTTAATAACAGTATTCTTAAAGCATTCACTTACAGATATTTTGTGTATATTAAAATACATTCTGTAAGACAGTTTCTCACAGTACGTGGGACACAATACTCTTGCGGTTCCTGTAGTTTTTTTAAAAAAGACAAATTTTGAAACCCAGAGATGTTAAGAGAACTTGCCCAGCATTATACAAGTTAGTGGCAGAGGTGAAAATGGAAGCTAAGTCTTGAAATTAACAATCTATAATTTTTTTGCTATCATTATGAAGACAAGATAATAACTATAAATAGGTCAGAAGAGAATCATCACTATGTGCTAGAATGGTCAGAGTTTTATAAAGGTGCAATGTTAGTTAAAACATGAAGGATGAATAGAATTTGTCTAGTTAGAAAAAGGGAGTGTGTTGATCAAGTAGGAAACATGGAATGAACAAAAAATAGAGGAAAACAAAGTAGAGAAGTAGAAATAAACAGCTACTCAGGTCAGGCCAGACTGATTACAACAGAAGGTTCAGGTAGAAGGGTTAGGGAGGTGAATTTGGTAGAAATTTTTTATTTTATTTATTTATTTGCCAGAGAGACAGAGAGCACAGATAGGAGAGTGTCAGGCAGAGGGAGAAGCAGGCTCCCTGCTGATCAAGTAGCCAGATGTGGGACTCAATCCCAGGACCCTGGATGGTGATCTGAGCTGAAGGCAGATACTTAACCGACTAAACCACCCAGGCATCCCAATTAGGTAGAAATTTAAGGTCAAATTTTGAAAGGCTTTGCAATCCAAGCAGAACTACCCAACTCACTTAAATTTTAAACTTTTAAAGATAGAATTGACATAATAACCGTTATTTTAGAAAGATAATTTGAACAAGGTGTATCACATGGGTTAAAGTTGGAAATGGCCTAGAAATAAGAATAATACAATTTGTTTATTAATTATTCAGTCAGGAAGTATGTGTTGTGTACCTATGAGAATCAACTGAAGATCTTATTTAAAATGCTGGTTCTGATTTAGCAAATGTGGGGTAGGCCAAGATATTGCATTTCTAACAAACTCCTAAGGATACCAAGCAGCTGGTCCATGGATCAAAGGAAATAACAAGGATTTTGTCAATTTAATCATGCATCTACTATGGATTTTAAGACAAAGGCTGTTAAAGATACAAAGCTGAAAATAGGTCTTGCTTTTGAAATTACATGTACTAGAAATGTACTAGAAACTATAGACTAGTAATAAGAATGTTTTGGGAAGTTCAAGTGCTTAAATGCACATTTAGAAGTAGAATTTTCTCAAAAAAAAAAGATTAAATCAAAAGACATTATAAAGGCTATTACATGGAACAGAAGAGTGTCAATGTTGATTTCTCTTCATCTGGATTATAAAGCCTCATCAAAATGATATGTGACTATAAACACAAATAAAATACCTACAAAACCTAGCTATTAGGTCTCTCTACCACAATTTTACATCCCTGTCTAGCAATATACCATTTCCATTTCTTCATGTTCCATTTGTGGTCTATCTTTTCTTGGTTTTTGTAGCTCCTCTTCCTTTGCTCGGTCCCTAAATTTAGGGGTCACCATGGCTCAGTCTTGGCTTTCTGTCCTCCTAATTCCTTATGCTAATGACTCCCAGGTCTTATCTCTGTCTTGAGCTCCATGCCTAGACCCACCTGCTCACTAGGTGCATTTTCTTTTAAGTTCAGTAGGCACTGCAAACTCGGCTTGTCCAAAACTAAGTTTACTATCCCCGACCTCTCTCACTGCCCCTCCCCACTACTGCTCTGTTCCCTCTCCTTTCATTCTTCTTTCTCAATGACTGCCACCAGCTAGTCACCCAAGCCAGAAGAAACCTGAACAAGAGTTGTCACAGCTCCTGTCTTCCACTCACTCTATATTTAAGTCCTATAGACTTTCCCTCCTTGGTATTTCTTCTCTACATTCCCATCTCTTCCTTCTTGCCATCCTGGCTTAGTTCAGGGCTCCATTTATTTTTTATCTAGACATGTGTGACTAGCATCTTAACTTGTCTCCATGCCTCAAGTCTTGTTCCCTCTAACTCACCCTCTATTCTGCTATATTTCTAACATGCATATTCTATACCTATGGCAGAATTGGGGTTTTATCATATATGGATAAGCAAACTCTAATAATTCAACAAACTTTTACAAACAGTTATGCTCTGTCAGGTATTGTACCAGTCTATGGTACTACAGAGATAATAAATAAGACAGTTATTAGTAAGAACTACAAAGAAGTTTTCAGTTCTGATCCACTCCTCTCTTTCCTCCCAATCACCAATCTCCAGTCTCCTTACTGCAAACATGTCAGTCTTTATTGAATACCCATTATATCGATAGATGGATAGATAGATAGACAGATACATACATACATACATACATTAAAGAATGTA